GACACTGCTGGCAGCCCCCAGCCCTGCCAGAGGGGACCACGGGCTCTGCAGGCTGCCAGCAGCACCATCGTGGTGGTATGGGACGGTGCCCACAGTGTGCCATGAGCCAGACACACATGCCGATCCCCGAGCCACGTGGCACCTCACAGTCCTGATGCCAGAAGCTGCTGCCACTGCTCCGTTTCATGCTCATGATGGAGCCAGGGCAGTACCTGGCTGGCGGGGGTGCGGATGCTGCCACCACTGTGGTGGGATGCAATGTCACCTCTCTTTCCACCCCCAACAAAAAATGAGGCCCAAAAGGACACTCGCATATCACAGCAGTCCCAGGGTCACACGAGGACTTCCCCAGGGCATTGAAAGCCCCACAGCCCCAGCCCTGGGGATCGGCTCTGGAGCAGGCGGCTGCACGCCCGGGTCCCCGCAGCACAACTGCATCACCAGCGCGCCCACAGCCACCGCAGTGCAAAGGTGCTGAGTCAGCAGCCAGCCCCGCTCACCCCCTCCCCGCTCTCCTGGCCCAGGACTGAGCCCAGCAGCACCCATGCTCTGCCAGAGGGCCAGGGTGAGTCCCACCCGGGCATCCCCATGTGCTCTCTGCCAAGGTCAAATCCAGCCGCGGAGCTCTGCCACCACAGGGTATTTAAGCAGCTCCAAAGATGCTCCAGCTTGTCCCAGTTTGTACTTGGGGACCTTATCTGGGGAGCGGCCCATCCCACAAGCACCACCCCTGGGCACACAGCTGAGCTGTTTTGTGTCCCCATATGTCACCTCATGTCCCAGAGACAGGGAGAGGTGCTCCTCCTCCTCTGCACCCCACAAACCCCACTGAGAGCAGCTCTCCCCTGCCACGACCCGGGTACACTCTGCTCCGACCCACAGGGAAACCGAGGCACGGCCAAGGCTACACAGCAAGGTCCCTTCAACACGTGCCTGGTGCCCTGCGCTGCCCCACAGCATGAGGAGCACCACGGGGAGGTGCTTGGACCCTGCTGAGCCCTCTGCACTGGGAGCAGTGGCCTGATGGACCCCTCTGGGGACATCCAGAGCATCCCAGCGCCCTTGCGGCAGCATCCCAGTTGGGGACGTGGCTGGGAACAGACCAGCTAACAAAGGGCCTGACAAAAGGACGGTGGCAGAAAGGACACCATGCTCTCCAAGCCCAGGAGATGTGGCAGAGTGGTGCAAAGCAGGGACAAGCTGGCACTTGCCATGCCCTCAGCCCAGGATCCTGTCCTGCGTGGGAGGGAAGGAGCCCCATGGCCGCAGGCAGGGCTGGGAGGCAGCAAACCCCACCAGCTCCCAGCCGCAGTGAAGCCTCTCAGCACCGTGCTCGCTCCCCACCATGTCCCGAATGGCCCCAGGGAACGCCTGGGGGTGATGCACGCTCACCCGCTCCTGTGCCAGCACCCAGCGCCCGCCAGAGCCGCTCACACCAGGTTTCTGAGCACACACAGCGCCGGGGGAAGCAGCAGCACGCAGCCACACCGCGCTGCTGGGGAACGGCAGCTCCACGGGGAGGAGGTGGCACCGCTCGCACACGCAGGACGTGGCCAGGACGAAACCAGGCAAAACCTGGCTTGAACATCCCCGCTCCCGCCTCCTCCGCTGCCGCCTGATTCACACACAGGTCTGCACAGGAAGGTGCCCGCGCTCCTGCACCACGGCCCCAGCACCGCGCTGTGGCTGTACAGCCAGAGAGGTCCCTCGGCATGTCACCGCATGGTGGTAGACCTCCCGGTGGGATTGGCCTCAACGGGGTGACCTCCAGGGTCTGGAAAACATCCCCAGCCTGGCCAGGGTGGGAAAGCATCACTGATGGAGCACACCCCTCAGGGGCATGGGGGCATGGCACAAGGAGCAGTACACTCAGGTGGGAACCCGAGTCGGCAGAGGCCAAGGAAAGAGCCAAGATTTTCCAGTGCCCAGGGGTTGGTACTGTCCCTGCCTGCGCCCTGCCCGGACCCCATGGACAGGCAGGACAGGGCAGGGGAGCAGCACCATCCCAGTGAACGGTGCTGTGTTAACCTGTGCCAGGCCCTTTGCACACCTCGGTGCCGGCAGCGGCACATCCCAGTGGGGCTGCTGCCAGCCCTGGTTGTGCTGGGTCCCTGCCAGCCGAGGGCTGCCCTGCTGCAGAGCACAACAAAGATGCAGTGACACTGGGAACAAAAGAAGGGCCTCGCTGCCAAGCAGGGAGGGCAAAGCCAGCACTTTCCACCCCCCCAAAACCGGCAGCAGGTTGCTGGTAGAGGGGAGCCACAAGTGCCAGCGCAGCAGCCACAGGCAGGCGGGCACAGCTGGGCAAGGAGCCAGGCTGCCGGCACGTTTGGCTGATACAGAAATGCTTCTGGGGACAGAGGTGTCCCCAGCCGATCCCTGCTCTCTCCACCAGACGTGAGCTGGGCCCCAGGACCCCCCTTTCAGTGAGGCTCATCCCAACCACCACCCCCCGCATTCAGCCCGATACCCCCCACGGACAGTCCCCGCACCCCGGCCGTGCTTCACCTACCTTGGCCCTCTCTCCCTCCAGGCTGCTGCCCCAGTGAGCCCTGGGGATGCCAGGACCCATCCCACGGCCCCGCACGTCTCCGAGGGGGACGTGCCACTGCGTCCTCAGAGCTGGCTCTGACCTACTGCCCTACAAGCCTGGCTGTGCGCCGGCGCGGTGCAGGGAGGCGCCGGCCCGGTGGCCCAGGCTCGGGGGCTGATGGCCCCATCTGCATCATTCGGCTCCTGCCCGGTGCATTAGCGGCACGGGGAGATGGGGCCTGGGGCGGTGTTCGCTTTCTAGGTCACAGCCAGCTGAGGAGCCTGGATGTGGGGCTGGGGGGATGAGGGGCTGGGGGATGAGGGGCTGCGGGGATGAGGGGCTGCGGGGATGAGGGGCTGCGGGGATGAGGGGCTGCGCTGGATGAGTGCTCTCAGCTGGGAAGGTGGCTCCTCGCCCTGGCCAGCTCTGGGTAGGAGGGGATGCCTTTGCTCCCCTGCCCTGGCTCTGCCTGGACAAGGCACCCCGGTGACCCCCAGCACCCAGCCAGGGACACCCCTGGGGACAGAGGCCCTGTCACGCTGCCTGCTCTGGTGGACCCCCTGAGCCCTGCCATGGGACCTCGGAGGATGGAGCTGTGACTGGGTCACCACACAGCTCCATGTGCCAGCAACATCCCGGTGACATGGCTGATCTCCAGGACACATCCCTGCTGACAAGAGGGCCCTGTGCTGCCCCGGCTGCCCTTCTGCACCCACCCCTGGGCAGGGGTACTCAAGAGAGGACACCAGCCCCTCTCTGCACCCCCTGGCAGGACACAGGAGATTTCTCTCAGGGCCCATCACACCAGAGACCCTGCAGGATCAGGGACTGCGGCACCGGGCTGTGGCAGTGCCAGTGTCAGTCAGCTCGCCATAGCACTGAAAGCCTCACCTGCACTGGGGACTGTGGTGCTGCTGGGGCCTCACAGGAGGCTCAGCCATGAAGGGCTCTGTCCCCAAGGCCTGGCCCTTCCCGGGAGGAGAAGCGGACGCTGCCGGGGCAGGGTGCAGGGCTGAGCCCAGGGAAAATCCTGCCAGTGACCCCTGCCCACACTCTGCCCCACTCGGTGGCTGATGGAGACAAAGCAATGCTCCAGCTCACCCCTCCCACCTCTGTCCCCAGGGGTACCCCTCTGCACGAGCAGCTCTGAGACAAGACAAGGAGGAAGAGGGAGCAATGGAGCCCTTCACCCCCTACAGCCAGACCCGCTGCAGCCCCAACCATCCAGGGCGCCCCAAACCCACTCTGTTGCCCATCAGCCCCACAGTCTGGTGGCTGGTGGCAGAAGGAGGTGACGTGGGAGGGTCTGTGCTGAGTCAGCACACAGCACCCCTGCTCACAGGCACAGGGCAGCCCCCCACGGCCACCCCTCCTGCTCGTGGGGAGGACGGGACTGACACCCGTGGTGCCACGGACACTCAACCCTGAGTTGGAGCACCGCAGGGACAGAGGCCAGCACAGGCACCCCTCAATGTCCCCCTTTTAACTGTCACATGCACCTCTGGGACACACCTGAGGAACACTGGCCCCCAGGATGGGTGTGAAACCATGGGCTGCACTCTGTCCTCCAAGGAGCTGATGTGACTACGGCCACCCCAGGAGGACTGGAGCAGCACTGCCAGGGGGGTGAATACCTCCTCCTGCTCTGGGATGGCTCAAATGCCAGAGTTATTTATTTTCTCCTGTGCTGAAACAGGAAACCTCCAACATACTGAAATCCTGGACCCTCGCCAGAGCCAGGGGCACCTCAACAGTGCAGTGGGAGCTGGACACGTCTGGAAGGAAAAATGCGAGCCCTGGGCGTGCTGAGGTGTGCCCACTTGGCAGGAGATGGCCCTGGCCCTGTGGGGGCAGGGACAGAGGTCGACAGGGCTCCCAAAAGGAGGGGACCCCGCTCAGCAGCACACCCTGCTCCACCATGATCCCCAATGACACCTCAGTGCCTGGTTCTTACTGGGTGCTGAGACCTGACCCAGCCTGTCCCACCACAGGCCACCAACACTCCTGGCAGGACACAGGACATCCCTGTAGTGTCAGGGTCAAAGACAGCAGCTCAGACCCACTGGTGCAGACTGGGAGAATGGTTCTGAAAGCAGCAGCACTCACGCCAGCTGGGCTCTGGCCCAGGGCTCCCCAGCCACACACCACGTGCCTTTCTCAGACCCTTGCTCTGGGAACACCCCGATCACACTGGACACTTCCCGCGTGCCAGGAGAGCAGCACACCCCAGCTCAGGGACTCACTGGCCCTGAGCCACCTCGTCTGGCCCAGCATCACCAGCACTGCAGGGGCTACACTGCCTCGCCAGAGGGAGAGCATCTCCTGGGATGCGGGGACACAGTCTGCCCAGCCAGACTGGCCATGACCTACGTGCTCCTCCATCCACCGCCGCTGCTGACCAAACCGGAGGTGGTGAAACCTCTGGGAGAGCCCTGGTTCAGGCACAAGCCCCAGTGTGGACACTTACCCCGTGGTGATGTCTTCATCCTCCGTCAGCGTTTTCCCCATCAGATCGCTGTCGCTCATGTAGCCCGACTTCAGCTCCACGTCATCGGTGTCCAGTGCCTCGACCAGCTCCAGGCGGGAGATGTGGCTCAGCTTGCTGGGGCTGCGCATGGGCATGGTGTGCGAGTAGTGTGCCCGCTCGCCATGCATGTACCAGCTGGGGGTACCCTCGGAGCGGCAGGTCCCCCCAACCGACGGCGCGTCCCCCGCCTGCAGGCGCGGGCTGGACTGCCCGTAGCGCCAGGAGAGCGGGGAGGAGCGGTTGGACAGGCTGGAGACGCTCCGGGGGTTGGCTTCGTCGCTGTCGTAGCAGGTCATCTCCAGGGAGCTGCAAGGACACAGGACAGGATTAGGGCAGGGCGGGGGGGAAGTGTAGGTCTGTGCCCTCCTCACCCCCCCAGAACCACAGCTGTAAGTTCTCAGAAAACAAAGCTGCCCATTTTGAGGCAGCCAGGCAAAGGCAGAGGCTCCCAGGAGTGTGGGCGCAGGGACACTGTCTGTCCTGGACCCATTTTGTCTCAGATGAGAGGGGACAGTCCCCTCCAGGGCCCCACACTCCATGACTCACTGGGACACCCACATCACCTGCACCCACCGGTGTCTGGTGGGGTTTCTCCCCAGGGACTGTGGAGCAGTATGTGGGGTGCGATGGGGGGTCCTGTGCCTCCCTACAGCCCCAACAACCCCCCACAGGCAATGCTGGGGAGGTGCAGGGGCTGGGGGTGCCACCAGGACTGGCTGCAAACACACCATGGGAGAGGGGTCTGTATTTCTCTGGAGACTGGTCCCAGCCCCAATCTGAGCCACACTGAACCCCACTAACAGGAAGCCTTTAGTGGAAAGCCCAGAGATGCTTCCCCGCGCCTGGGCTGCTCTCCCTTGACCACCTCCCTACCAGCATTTCAATACCTACACCCCGGTATCACCCCACATCTGGGATATGACGAACTGGGGTGGTGGCACATTGATCTCAGGGGATGTGGCAGTGGGCCATGCTGGGAAACAGGGGCTGGATGTTGAGGGGCAAACCAGGGACCTGGTCCCTGCATCAGCACCTCAGGCCAAACCCCTGCAGAGCGAACCTCCACGTCTGGGCAGGAGGGGACACCCCGACACCGGCTGCCTGGCCCCGCGGGGTGCCTGCAGTCTGCTCCCCAGCCAGCTCAGAGCCCACCACGCATCAGGAACGGGGAGTTCAGTTACTCCCCACACTCCTTGGGGTGTATTTTGGGCAAACAGCATGTCGGGGAGTGATGCTGAGACTAAATTTAGACACCAAAAATGATTACTTCTTGGAGCAGCTACTTGGGAACCCACAGCCCTCGACTTGGCTCCAAACGTTACTATCAGCGAACTATTCCCCAGCTTGGATTAAACGTTCCTGCAGGAGCACCAAACGCCAAGCCCCGTCTGCAGTATTGAATTTAAAACAGGGAACTACATAAAAAACTAGGAAGTTTGTTAAAGCGGAACTAAAAGGGGCAGCTAAAAGGGTTTAGTTTTTGTGGGCAGCACAAAGGCTATTTAAGGATGTTCTGCCGGCAGCTCAGAGCAGATGCAACCCACGTCTCCGAGCAGGACTAAAGCAAATCCCCGAGGAAGCTCGTCCGACCCTGCAGAGGAGTCCAAAGGCTGCCAGAAGAACGGTGACGTCTTCCAGGAACAAAGCTGTGTCCTAGTGAGGAAACAGCAAAGGCTGTGCCCCCAGCCACTGGATGGATGATCACAGTGAGGAGAACAAGAGAAGTCTGAGCAATAATTTGTGGAAGGAATAAAGAGGGAGTCTGAAGCAGTGACAGGGACACTGGCGATGTGGGGCACATCCAGAGGACCATGGATGACATCCATGGTTGGAGAGGCTTGTAGGAAGCATTCCTGAGAGCAGAATTAGTGGGTACGTGTGTAATTATGACATATTGGGGAAGAGCTGACACAGCTTTGGTAAAGGAAAATCCAGCTCAGGACTGCGGTGGAGCTCCTGGAGGGACGCAGGGAGCAGGCTGCAAGGCTGCTGCAGCTGCCATAAGGTGGTAGGATGAGTGCCCTCACCTCAGAGGCAGACTAAGCTTCCAAATAAACTGGAATAACAGCTGCCATGGGATAAGAGGGAAGATCTTCATGTATTTAAGATCTGCTTACAGGACAGAGCACAGGGGTAGACATCCCTGAGCTACTAATAGTCCATTTTCCCCGTGGCAGGGATCTGGCTGAGTGTGCTCAACTCATCAAGAAAAGGAAGCGATAGCAAAGAGTCAAAACGCACCAGCAACACTAATTTAATCACCCTTAATATCCTTGCCCTATTTCCCGAAGACGGGGGCTGATGGAGGAGTTGAGCTGAGCGCTGGGGCGAGAGGGCAGTGGGTGAATTCTGACACAAAGCGAACATGAAGCAGCGCTGCCAGCGTGAGCAGCACCAGGCTGCGAACCCGCTGCTGTGCTGGGCAGAGGGATGGCAGAGCTGCAACGGGTAACTCCAGGAGATCACCAGCCCGGGGAGTGTTGCTGCAAACCCTGTGCAAATCCCACTGCCCCAGAGCTCTGCTAACCTCCGGCTCAGAAAAGATCCAGAAAGTGTGGCAAGGACAAAAAAGGCCCAGATGAGCTTCTGGGTCAAGGAGAGCTAAATCAAGTGGGGTGCTTCATCCGGGACGGAGCTGATGGAGGGGTGACACAGGGAAGGTCTGTAATGGTGAGTGGGGGGTGAAGGGGCGGGGGGAGGAAGCCGCTGCTTTTTGCCCATTCCAAAAAAAAAAAAAAAATGAGGATCAAGGGAGACCACGAGGTGGCAACAAACACTATGAGAAGGATGTTGGCCACATCCTCGGCTTTCTCAACTCCCTGACACCCGACAGCCTCTCTGCAAAGCCCAGGCTTCCTACCGCGGCTGCACCAGGAAGGTGCCCTGGGAGATGCCCCCTCCCCACCCGCTGCCCCAGCCCCAACAGAGACCCAGGCAGGAGCCTGGAGCTGCCGTGCAGACCCCGAGCATGTTCAGAGCAGATCAGTAATCTGCGGTGGTCTCAAGTGAGAGACCCAGCTGGGCACAGGTAGTCCCAGGAGTGTGTCAGAGAGACCCCTTGAGCACAGGTAGACACTCTGCTCTGGTTCATTACCCAGCCCTGTCCTGAGACCCGCCATCCTTCAGCCCCAGCTGCACCCTGGGGTGCTGCCCCAGCCTGGGCAGGGTACCCCACCTCTGCCTGTGGGCTGCTGGGCATTGGGTCAGCTCTGTCTGAGGGTTTCTCCATCATCACCTCTACGTAGAGAGAAACTGAGTCACGGATGGGCACGGAGCCTGTGGTCCAAACCTGGGCAGGCGCAGGGGACACCTTCACCTCTGGTTGTCCATTTGGGGACACCTGATCACAAGGAACAGACCTCACCCCCTGCCTGAGGTCTGGGGGCAACCAGCTCGCCTTTGTGCCACCACCACCCATCCCGCTGCCCCGGAGCACACCAGGCACTGTCAGGCCCGGAGCACTGCCAGGGATGGGGCTCTGCTGCAGCCCCACACATGACACTCCATGGATTTGGGAGCATCTCTCCAAGCCCCCATGTGCTGGGTCCCCAGGTCCTCTCAGCCAGCTCCCTCCCACCCACACAGCCTTCATTCAGAGCAGAGCCACTTCCCGGCCACCCCAGCCCCCCTCACTGCCCCAGAAGGACACTGGTTGTGGGGAAGGGGCGTGGGGGGAGTCTGGTGTCAGGACCTCACCTGTGAGTCACCTGAGAGCCCCTCAGGCTGGACATGGTCTCCTCCAGGTTCTGACGAAGGTCCAGCACATTCTGCACCGTCCTCTTCCTCTGGGACTCGGGGTCTGTGGAGAGACAAGGTGGCAGTTTTAAAAGGACTTATGGCTCCTGAGCCCCTCTGCCCATGGTTGTGCCCGCCAGCCCCTTCCCACACCCCTCTGCCCATGGCTGTGCTCCCCAGCCCCTTCCTACACCCCTCTGCCCATGGCTGTGCTCCCCAGCCCCTTCCCACACCCCTCTGCCCATGGCTGTGCCCCCCAGCTCTCGCTCTGCCCGCTGGGGACAAGGCAGGGCTGGCACCAGGCTGGAGCTGCACCACCACGAAATGCCACCCCCAAGGGTACTGCGGGTTGGGATGGGGATGGCTGCTCCAGGAAGGATGAGCTGGGCAGCGGCCAGTGGGGCCAGTGGGGCCAGGGGGACCAAGGACCCACACAGGTGACAGGAGGCCAGGTACAGCCAGGCAGCCCCATGGCTGACCCTCCTCCATGAGGCCACGCAGGAGCAGTCATCCTGGAAGAACCTCCCCAAACCTGCCCCTGCGTCCCCCAGGCCCCAGGGGTGCTCTGGCCAGGGGACACAGGCACCGCAGCAGCAGGAGCCCAGGGGATGTCGGGGAGCGGTGGAAGCCGAGCCCCACGCTGCCCGGGCAGAGACAGCTGCTTCTGCGGGGGGCTGCTCCAGTGGGAATGACCCCCCCACGGGCACGGCCCAGGGCTGGAAACCCCAAAGCTCCAGCTGCCCTGGGTCTTCTCCGCGTGTACACACACAGAGCACAGGCGTGCACACACACACACAAGTGTGCAGCCCCCAACCTGCCTGTGTGCACGCGCATGTACCTGCACCACAACCATCCGTGTGCACACACACGCATATACATGCATGTACATCCACATACGTGTGCATACACACCTGCAAATACACATGCACACATGAACTTGTGCACACACACCCCCAGAGACACTCGCACACACGCGGAGGAGGGGGTTCACTCCTGGCACAGCCCTGGCAGCGCTGCTAGCACTGCTGGGCTCGGGGCCACAGCTCTAGCCCCCGCGCCCCTGTCCCGCTCGTGTGCCTCCCCACAGCTAACAGCCGTGCCACCGCGGCTTTGATCCCCGATTTCAAGCCTCTCAGCCGCAGTTTGCCATTGAACTGCAGTGACAGCGGACGCCAGGGATGCTGGATGTGGCTCCTCCTAATGTAACGTGGCAACCAGCGCTTCGGGATTTGCTACAGCACCGTGTGAGCTGCCGTGAGGCGGGGACCGGGGGGACACCGCTGGCACACACCCCAGCAGGCTCCCCACAACGGCACGGCCATGTCCCTGTCTGCCTGGGGCTCGTGTCCCATCGTCCCCATCACACACCAACACAGACACAGCAGGCAGCACCCATGGGTGACGCTGCCCTGTCCCCGGGCTCTGCTCGCCCACCGGCCCGGGCAGGAGCACCTCAACCCAGTGAAGCGGCTGCCATTTACGCATGACCCTGGAAGGTGGTGACAAGAGGTAACAGCCCCGATGAGACAGGTTAAACCAAGCAGGTTAAAGTCGGTTGTAAAGTCGAGGGTAAACGGGCTGGTGAGCCCGCAGGGCACCCAACATGGCCAGCACACGCTGTCGTGTAAGGAGGACAACCAGCCCGCCGTGTGTCCAACTGCCCTGGTCCAGCTCCCAGGACGAGGCTTAGCAGAAGGCACGTCATGAACTCGTTATTAAATCTTCCCTGTGGCCCGTGCACATTGGAGGAGTTAATCAGAGTGTATGAGGGTCTGCCCCAGAGCCTCCGACTGGTGCTCCAGAGCTGCAATGGGATCACGAGTGGGCCAAGGAGCAGGGATGAGGACGGGGAAGTGCAGGCAGCAGGGGCAGAGGGACGGACGGATGGAGCAGAGGTGGCTGCACACACAGAGCCAGGGCACAGAGGAAGTTCAAGAGGCCCTTGGTGCCAGAGGCCGGTGCCCGTCCTGCTCTGTGGCTGGGGACAAGGGGACTCGGTGTCCCACCAGTGGGGCAGGCAGAAAGGGCTGTGTTGGCAGATCAAGGGGCACCTCAAAGCTGCCAGGTCCTGCCGTTAGGCTGCCTGGAAAGACGGATTTTCAGGCTTGAAATAGCAGGACAGAAATGGGAGGCGAAGGCCACTGCTGGCACACGTGCAGCGTGTAGGGCAATGGAATTTTCTGGAGGGGAGGCTCATCCAAACCTTAGGGAAGAGAAATAAACACCACCAGTATCCCCAGGTGGGTCCATGCAGGAAAGAACTCGGCACCCCCAGCTCCTGCACCCTGGCCACGTCCAATGGGTGCCACCTTGAGCCCCGCTCCCACAGCAGGCAGCACACACACCCCAGCAGCACCGTGTCCCTGAGGTCTGGGGCAGGACGGAGCAGGAGATGAGAAGGAAGAGCCACCATTGTCCCCTGGTGCCACCACTGGGTCCCACCCCACTGACAACCTGGCAGTGTGCTCCTCCCCAGCACAGCTCCCTCCCAAAAACACCCCGGCTGCCTCCCCCACGGCCACCCGCAGCCATTCCCCCGGGCACAAAGCCAGCGCTTGGGCCTGGCACTGCCTCCTCCCCGGGCACTGCTGCCAGGGGGGCTGCTACAGCCACCCCCAGCCCGAGGAGCCCCGGGGACAGGGCTAGCACTCTCTGTGTCCCCAGCCACCCCAACAGAGGGGATGGCACATGGGTGCCACCTCCCCCTGCACTCCCGCTGCTGCTGGGGGACAGCGAGGACCCCCAGGGCACGCAAGGCAAGAAGCAGCACCCAAGGGCTGGGGAGCCCGGGGGAAGATGGAGGTGCTTCAGCCCCAGCATCTCAGGGCCCTGATCCCCATCCCCAGCCTCACCTGCGGCACCCTCAGCCACCCGTGCCCGGCACAGTTTGCTCCCCCGGCCCCCAGTATTTGGGTGACCGTCCAGGATCACTGCTGGAGACACCCCAGGAGAAGCAGCAACTCCCACCTGGGAAAGGGCCAAATGAGGACTGGGGGAGCTGCTCTCCCACCTCTGGCACACGTCCCACTGCCAGTGCTGAAGTGTCACCATTTGTCCCAGCTGTGCTGGGCCGGGACAGTGACATCAGGCCCCCCGCAGTCTGTTTTCCAGGTGCAGCGAGGGGCCGGGGGCTGGCTGAGCCGCAGCATGCCGGAGCCGAGCCGAAACCGGAGCCGCTGGGAGAGGCTGGAGTGTGGGAACAGCAGGAGCGCGCTGGATTCCTCCCTGCATCGATTTAGCAAGCTTTCCGCAGCCAGATGTTTCCAGCTGCTGGAGCAGGGAGCAGGAAGGACGGCTCAGCCCGTGCCGTGGCAGGGTCAGTCAGACACCCTGCCTTGGCCAGGCTCATTTCCCCGGCAGCGACGGCTGGGACGTGTCCCCCAGTGTCCCCCACTCTGCCGGGGCTGCAGGCTCAGGGTCGGGCCGTCCCCTCCGCCCCAGCCCCAGGCTGGCTTGCAGCCCCGCTCACAGCTCCCCGCTGCTCTCGCAGGGTCTGTCCTGCTGTCAGGGAGGGAAGGGGGTGCTGGCTCTGGCCCTGTGCTCCCATAGCCTGGCCACACAGAGGAGGGCAGCCCCGAGGTGCAGCCACTGTCCCCGAGGCCACCAGGCCCCACTGTCTGAGTGACCACCCCCTTTTCCAGGCTGGGTCTAACCTGCCCTTGCCAGATTCTGTCCTGACCTTCCCTACACCCACGCTGGGGCAGCTCCCCTGGCCCCCCCGTCCCCCACTGCCGCTCCTTTCTTAACTGAGTGCTCTCAGTGCTCTCTTCAGCATCAACACACACAATATGGCTCCGCTTCACACATGGGGAAACTGAAGCACTGAAGCCCACCCTGCGGGTGCCCGGCTCACACGCTGCCCGTCACCCCGTCTCCTGCCCTGCACAACCCGGGAAGCAGCAGGTACCACCACCAAGAGAAGGAGCATCGGCGAGGCGGGATGATGGGATGGAGGCAGCCAACGAGGGGGAAGAGGAGGAGGAGGAAGGAGAGAGTTGTGCTCAGGGCAAGGTCTGACTGTGGCACTGCAGACCCAGGGCCGGAGGAGACCAGGCAGCTCCAGATTGTGCTCATGACCAGCCCTTCCCATCACCTCTGTGAGCGAGCAGGGGCAGCTCCTCTGCCTGCGCGACGGGGCGCTGCCGACGTGGCCAAGTATGTCAAGGAATGAGGAAATCATCAACTCCAAACGGCTCGTGACAGCTCATTTCAAAGGAGAATGTGGCCAAGAGCTCCCGCTGGGGCCAGGCAGAGCCGCGTCCACAGGACACGTGTGCCCCATGTGCCTTGGCACAGAAACCCCCATGAGTGTGTGTGTGTGTGTGTGTGTGTGTGTGCGCCGCCCCAGCGCTTGTTTGCATCATGCGTATGTTCATGTGCGGGCCACATGGTGGCAAAACCCTCTCTGCCCCAGAAAGGTGCATGTGTGGTGTGCATGCCTGTGCCTGCCACCGTGCACACGTGCCCACGTCTACGCGTGCAGGCACGAGGATGGCAGCAGCCGACACCTACACCGGCACAAGCCGGGCTTGCACAGCTGTGCCTGTGTTCATACACTCGGCAGGAGCGTGGCACTCGCACACAGGTTTCTGACCCCATCACCCAACCGGTCTCGTTTCAGAAAGTCAGACTGGGGAAGGACTCCTGGTGACCCACCAAAGATTTTAATGGCAAGTGGGAATTTGCTATAAAAGGCCCCACGGTGTTTCTGAGTCACTGCAGTGGGCTCCCAGCACACAGTAGCCACAATGATCTCCCCCAGGTCATGAAACATTTTTAACTGGTTGCTCAATTTCTTCCAGCACATTAAAAAATACACTAATAAACTCTGCAATAAAAACCATTCTCCCAGGGCCGGGAGACTCCTCCAGCCCGGCCGAGCTCCCCAGCTCCGCAAACCCTCGCACGGATACACCCTTCTCCCACCGCGCGGCCTCAGCCCGTGCTCCCAGCTGTGTTTATGAATGAATCAGCCCAGGCATTGGGTTTGGGTTTTTTTCTGGTATTTTCCTCCCAAACCCTCCACGCTGGCACCTAGAGACCCCCCAACAAGGGGACACCCAA